CAGAGAAATCAAATGTAACACCGCTGCTGTGACTTGGACGGGGCAGCAGCAGTCAAAGCAGATATTTCAGTCTTGATTCCCCACCATTCAGGGCTGCCGTTGACAGGAGATGGAGCTCAGCGGAAGGGACGCCAGGTTAGGAATTTCGTAGGGCTGGATCCTATTCCTCCTTCCGCCGCTGCTCTGCTGCCTAATCCTGGGCGAGTACATCCCCTCCAGGCATCTGGTTCCCCTCCCTCCCCGACACATCTATTTAAACTGCAAATTCAGAGGGGTAGTGTCCATCTCAGTAGTGACAAAGCATGTACAACACCCTGTGCTAATATTTCTAGTCATAAATATTCCCACTGCCATCAAATAACAAAACAAAAACCATGATAGAAATTGAACGGTCAGTGATGTGTTCTGTTAGTTTTGAGGCATTTGGGTATGAAATGTAAATGGCAAATTCTGCCACGTGGTAGCAAGCCAGAGGACATCTATGTTCTCTTCCTGCGTATTTGGGCAATCCAATTAGAGGTAATTGAGTTTTTAACTACATGAAATTACTTCAAGAATACCGTCACTAGAGGCTAAGCCTCCTGGGCAGCTGGGGGAAGGGAGCAAAGAAGCACTAGAAACTGGGAGGAACATAAGAGGGAGAGGGCACAGCCTGAAACGTGCTGAAGAGTACCCGCAGCTGGGCCAGTCTCAGGCATTGCTGTTTTTCACCAACATGTAAATAGCTGGGCTGCAGACACAAAGGTTTGCATGTTCCCAGTTCCCAATGAATTAAAGAGGAGTTAAATACATCCACACTTCTACATCTTTTTAACAGCAATGGTAAAGCACAGATCTACGAGCACCAAAAGGCTCCTACAGTCCTGTAAACACCAGAGACATAAAAAGAAAGCTAAATCACTGCAATGAAATTAATTCCTGCGGCATTTGCAAACTGCCATTCGCGTCCAGTGCATATGAGCACCTCTTTTAGACATTAAAATTAGCTTCACGTTACTTCCAACCAGAAACGGTCACCAAATTTATCAAGAAACAGAAAAACAGTTCTATTGCCAGACCTTAGATTTGTTTTGCACGTCCTGATAAGCCCTAGAAATGCTAGAAACCTCATTCATTTCTGACAACCTGTGCTCTTTTTGATGGCTACTAAAAATCTAAAGTACAAGCATTAGCAGGAAATAATATTTTAAGCACCACCTCAACAACTAAGATTGACACGGTTTCTTTTGTAGCTTCATGCTGATTTGAGATTAGATTTGATAAGACGGTTTTAAATATTCCAATATGCTGAAAGCCTATTTCTTAATACGAACAGCATGATAAGCAGAAAACTCTGAAGCATTTTTTCCCCCCACCTACAGAAGTAAATCAAATCAATTCATTGGGAAGGTATCCTTCATGCACAGAAAATATAATTTAGTGAAATTTAAAAGTTAATAAGCAGACTGCACAGAAAAAACAGCTTCCCCTTGAAAAGAGAAAAAAAAAATCCCATTTAACAAGAAGAAAAGTGAAGGAGACCCTATCCCCATGAGCTAATTGTCTGTCTTGTGCTATAGGGGATGCTCTTGCTTAGCTTACAAGCTTACAAGACACTCCCTCCTTCCCCTGCAAGCACAGGAGCTCCGCAGCACTAACATGACACCTCCAACCAGCCAACTTCCTTGAGCATTGCCCAGGAGACTAGAATGGGCATGCCTCTTCGTTCAGAAACCCAGAAACATGTCCGATTATCAGTCAGGCTGAAGAACACCTCTGACCAAGACCATCCCAGGAAAAACACTCATATTCAAGCTGTAAAAAACAACCACCATGGATTACCACAGCTGGCATATTTTTATAGCCTTTGTGTAAACACAAGCTCCGGATTAGCCAGCAGCTCAGCTAGCTCTATCTGGATTCCCTTCTTTTGAAAAAAAAAAAAAATTAAGGAAAACACCCACTAGAAAAGGTCAGTGGCCAAACTATTAGGAAAAAATAAAAGCAGAGGGGAAGAACGTACACAGCGATTCATCAAACGTGTGCTGCCGAAACTTTAACAGTTTAACACACCAGAGTTTTCACAGAAACTATACTTAATCTGCAGAACTGTCAAGCCGAGCAGAGTACTATTAGAACTGTATTTTTTAAGAAATTCTCAGTACTCCTCTAGAGCTGCTCCCACCAATTTAAGGGGCATGAACCCCATGGCTTAGAGAGGATTAAAGCTAAAGCAACTACAAAGAGTGCTGCCCTTGACGGGCAACACGACAAAAGCTCTACCTATTCCAAGCGTACACCCATGCAGAACAAAAGGACTGAGCATCTCGGGTTTTCAGAAAAACACTCAGCCTGGAAACATCCACACATCATAAGGTGAGCGCCCAGGTGGGAATTCCCCTTACGCTGTCACTAGAACACAGTCACAGATCATCAGCCACACCAAATCACGTACAACACTAACTCTGGTCTGTCCCTAACAATTTTCATTTGACTACAGTCATTTTCAAAGGCACATCCCAGTCCTAACCTGAAACATCAATAATTAGAGATTTCATTGCATTCCAGAGTCAATTTTAACAGTGAGGCCAATTAACCAGTGGAATATTGTGAACTTTAAGTCTTTTTTGTTCCTTCAGTTCCTATTTAGAACCTATTAGTTTAACTAAGGTTATTGGTGCTGGCTACATCTACATCTGCACTGTTCAGATTTGGCATGTTCTGTGTTAAGGAGGTACTTACTGTAAATTGAGTCATATCTTAACCTTCTCCTAAACGAGAGGCAGAACGCAGTACAAAGCAGATCTTTCTCCCTTTGAATGGACCTTTGTGGCTCCTCTTTGCGTTCTTTCTGATTTTCGCATTCAAAACGCAGTCGGCAGAACTCCTCAGTCCATGAGTCCTCCCAATACGGCATTCAGAAGGAAAAGTCCTTTCCCATTCATTGCTGTACTATTCACATAAACCAAGGCCCCCCCTCACACACATGCTGTGGCTAAGGGTCAAATTGGTTTACTTGCTTAGCCAAACTTCCAAATCCTCTTCACAGAGCCCGTTATTTACTCTTCTATTTATAATTTTGCATGTAGCCGTATTAAAACAGATTTCATTCGAATGAGGCCAGCTTGTCAAAGCGGCCCTGTAAACCGCCAACTCGCATGTCATCCACAGAAACTCCACATCTGCTTCCAAACACTGAACTGTGTCCTAGCAGAACACCCACAGAAATGCTCTCATGCTGTGCTAACCAACAGCTACTTTAGAAATTACAAGTTAGCCAGTTAATTCATTTATTGTGCAGAATCTCAATATTGTTATTATTGCATTATTTCTACCTAATTCTAAACATCAATGTCACATAATGACTAAATCAAGCACTCTATAAAGAAATTATGGAAACATTCATCTTTCTCAACAAAACCTGTAATTTTATCAGCGTAAAATCTGGTTTGCTTCATGTAATCCATTTTCCATAAACAGCAGTCACCAATTTCAAATACTCCCATCTTTAACTTTATTGTTAACTGTACTTATTCCGAATTTTTTTTAAAGTTGTTGTTCTTTACTCTAGGACTAAGGCCAGTCAGGGTGAGGTGTTTTGTTTGTTTGCCTGGGACTGAACAAATTAAATTAGTCAGCCTATTCACGCTTTCTGAACACTGATAAAGTAACAATCAGTTATCTCAAGTATCTTCTATCATTCCAAATGTTAAGATACAAATGTCATGAAGTTTCCCCATCCGAGTCTTTCACCATTTCTGGATGAATTTTACTTGGGGCTGCAGATCCGAAATGTCCATTCCTGCATATCACATTTGATACTCATTTACAAATGTAATAGAAAGTATTTCCATTGTCCTCATCATGTAGAGTAAGCTTAGCTTCTTCCTTTTCCCAGAAGAAAGGCCAACATCTTTAAGAAATTCTGGCAATATATTTTAACAGCAAGAAAAAGTACAGGCATTCAGTTAGAATATTTTTTTAAACAGAACAACAGATATTTTCTGTCCACTAGCTTTTCTACAGGAACAGAAAACTTTTCACAAAGCAAATCGATCTCCCCCAGACTCTTCAATTTAAAAGACAAAGGAAGAAGATACTGTTTATACTACAGGAAAACAAGAAAACGATCTGCACAGCTTTGCAAAAGCTGACACTACTTTTGGGAAAATAAGCTGCAAGTGTTTCTACATTATGAACTCTTCGGGGGATACTGAAGAAGCACAGATATCCCTGACAAAATATACTGATTAACTGATGGGAGACTAGTTTGATACAAAGATTTTTGCTTTGTTGAATTCCTGGTTTGTTGAGGAGGGTGGACAGTGTTGGTTATTTTCAAGACACCGTTTACCATTATCAGTTCTAAAGTTCAAAGTCTAAAAAAAGTGCAGGCATTTAAAACAAAACAGGAAACCAGTAAGGTGCAAAAAAAGATCAGTAACTCATGCTCCCGTCCCTAAACTCCAGCCACCCCCCCCAACTTTACATTTCCACATACAGGCTGATGCGTACTTGTACCATGTCATGATAAAGAACAGGAATGTCAACAGATCTTTAGCTGTCACCGTACCAGTAACACACTTGCAAAAATACTTGTTGCTTCCTAGAGTCCATTAACAATGAAAATAGTGTCCTTAACCACTCAGCATCAATCTCTAAATTGTCTGTCTCGTCCTCACAGATTATTCCAGTGCATAAAGTAAATCTGAACAGAGTGCAGCCTTTTCTTGAACTTTCAAAATTGTTACACAAATGAGACACAAAAATAATTCAGAGTACAGCACAACTTTCCAGGGAAAAAGGTATAGTTTGTTTTTTGACAACTAAGTAATGAAAATATTTCATATATTCCAACTAGCAGAATGATTAAATTCTTAGATTAATTCCTAATTACTTATATAATTGGAAGTGAACAGTCTATTTCATATTAGGCAACTCAGGTTTAAATAACATCTAAATTTCACATGAGGAAATCTTCAGTCTTTTGAAAAGCATTAAAAAAAAGAAGCAAGTCTTACCATTTTGATGCCAGTGGAAAACGTGACTGGTTTGACAGGTTTGGGTTTTTCTAGTTTCATTTCTAGCTGAGTAGATCTGTCCTTATGCTGAGCTAAAAGCAGTGAAGCAGGAAGACTGGAGCTCTCCTGTAAATGAGGAATAAATTTAAATGCTAAAACAAATAGTAATTAATGCCACGTATTCTTCAAAACTGCAAGCTGTGTCTGAAAGGCCATCACCAGCAGAGCGGCGTAATGTTAAGTATCCTCTCTACGAGAAACAGTTTACAGAAAATGATCATTTTCAGTAATAAGAAAAAGCTGCAGCAACCCCATAAATCAGAGTAACCTGCAAACAACTGTTTTTATAGAATCCACATTAAAGACAATATAACAGGCTCCTTATTCCAACTGGCCAATGCAACTATATTTATTAAAATTAAAAAAAAAAAAGAACTTAATCAGAAAAGAAATAATACCAAGTAGTATAACTTGGATCAGATGTTTATCTAAGACACATTCTTTCTACCAATGAACTCAGACCAGTTTGAAATTGTTTCCCATTAGATTTCACCTGAGGCCGTTTGGAAATGATCCTTGCTCTGCCTTGCACAATGGCACTATTGTAAGTGCAACCAACAGCATATTTATTTTCTCCTTCACCAACTTACTTTTAGGGAAGCCAGCCAATTTTTAAAAAATATATAAAAAGTAATAAAATGAACAGTTACGCAAATGAACTACTTGAACTCTCCACACAGAACAATTCTACAACAGAATGATTATTAACATACATATATGTACTGCATTCTTGGGAGAGTCAGAAAATTATCGGCCAAGTAATTTTCTAATAAACTAACATGACTATCCCCATGCACACCGAAATCGTCAAGACTTCCTAGCTAGAACAACAGCAAAGTGGAGAGCAGGGAAGGACTTCAGGCGGATTCTTCCCCCAACTGCTCTAGTGCAGTATTTTATTCCTAACACCCTTAAACGTCACATATTCTTCTGTTTCACAGAACCAAGCAAATAGTGAACTATGAACCGTATTTGTTATTCACAAAACCAAACAAACTATTTTAATAAACTGTACTGTGATTTTTGACTTGTAACAGTGCAGAGTAAGAAGCTGGAAGTTTTTAATGCCGCGAGATGCCTTGCTGTTCATGATAACCTAGAGACATCTTCTGAAGTGACCATGAAGAACAGCCATGTTGCACATCAACTTTTCACATCACTCTCCAGTCCTCTTTCCTCTCTGTTTTTTGTTACACTTACTTTGTCTTATGACTACACTGGCAAGTGCTAAAAGCAGAAAAATCTCACATGACGAGATCTGGTCCAGAGTCACAAATACAACAACTAAGGCACAGGATCCTACTCACATTTCTGTGATTAACCAGGAGGAGGGGAAGGAAGAGGTTAAAAACCTAAATTGTAATAATAATTACATTAATTAATTAAATTAGTAAGACATCCAATTTTTGTACAACAGGGAGAAAATTTGGACCGCGAATGCTTTAGTTTACAGTCTGCATCTTCAAAGCGCTGGGCATGTCCGTAACCACCACGCAGCAGCATGTGCTGCTAGCTGCCAGCAGAGTTTCAGGATGTTGGATTCTTTTAACCATCACATTTAACGCGCTGCAGGAGAAGGGAAGACTGTAAAGCATTCTCCGATTCATTTTGCCCTCTCATATTCCTTCAACCATCACTGCATTTCTAATACAATAACTAAAGAAGCCAGTTTTTGTACCAGCTTCTCAAGAGCTCGCACAATGACCGGTAACCAGATTACACAACTGTGGGAAACCCACACTATGCCAGCAAGCCACCACCTCCGTGATTGTTTGTCCTTTCTAACATGCACACAGCCCTTCTGTTAACTATTAACACACACAAAAGGTCCAATCCTGTAAGCATTTATTCATACTAGCAATTTTCTGTATGGGAAAACAAACTGTCTAGCAGTATGAACAAAGCTAGTTATAAACAAAGATTTCTAAAAGATTTGTCTTCCAAAACCCTGAGATTCCGGTAAAAGTGGGGATGCTCGATGTCTTTCAGGCACCTTGCCCTTTGCTTGACTCCAAGCTATGCCAAGGCCCAGGGAAAACCTGTCTCTCTGCCACTGCTGCCATGCCATTTTGCTCATGCCTGGGAAGTATGGGCTCTTGCAGAGCTAAGGGCAAGTCCCACAACACAGAAGACATCTCAGAGCAGATCTGCAATCCTCTGTATACAGGTGAGAGAGCACCATACAGTAAATAAAGGAAGTGCTTTGATATTTTACTCAGCTCTGCCTATCCAAGTGTAGAAGGTTAAAACAAAAAAAACAAACCCAAGACAAAACAAACACGCTTCCAATAATGTGTAAAATGCATTTGAGACAACAAGTCTAAATTACAACAAGGTGTTGCACTTTTAAAGTAAGAGGTTTTATTGTAAAAGAGGTCACCTATAATGAAGGTAATCTAAAACCTGCCTAATTCAGTACTGCGAGGCGAAACAGGTAACAGGTCAGGCAAAGCACCTGACTGCTCTTCCAGCAGCCTGCAGAGCCGCAGCCACCGCGCTGCCCTGCTCACCTTCCCGGCAGCGCAGCTGGCCTTCCCCCGCGCCCAGCCCTGGCCAGGTTCGGGCAGCCTTGGCCGCTGCGCTCCACAGAAACCAAGCCTTTCAAGTACCAAACGTTTCTGTGCCTTTTTCCCTGTCTCTGGACTATCGAAATTATAGGCCCCCTGAAGATGAGACAGTATTCTCATACACTTCCGTGAACAGCTGAGGCCTTTACCCTGTGCGATACCACCATAAATAATACACATAAGAAACGGTGAATCTCCTCAGTCAGAATTTAAGCACCAAAAGGTAAAATTCTTTTCTTGGAAGAGGAAAGACCCGACATCTCTACCCACACCACACAAGAGATCTGCCTTACGTTATCTCTTGCTGCCCAGTATCAGGAGGAGGAGAGAAATAAAAACCACCTTGAAAACAGTGACCAGAGGCAGGCCGAGTGGGCTGAGGTTCCCAGCAGCAGCTGATGCATCCAAAAGAGACGATTCAAAACCAGCGGGTGAAGCGTCGGCTTCCCACCTTCCTCTATGCTCACAATCCTGCCCAGTCACTGGTTTTGCCACCGGTATCACTGTAGCCAGAACTTCATCCTTGCTGGTTCAGCACAGTACCAGCAACCACAGATAGAAGTTGTTTTTTTTTTTTTAAATGTAATTCTTTACACTGCTACTGCTTATGTTTGCCTTTTGCTGCGTTTCTCAGTTAAGTTTTAGCTATGATCAGCTTCATTTTCAGATTTGCAGCACAGCATTAGAGGGATTTCGGAGACCATAGGAAATGTTTATTTGTTTAACAACTGCTGGTTTTCCAGAGACTTTGTAAGTCATTATACAAACACTTCAGTGCTGGTTTTATAAACCTTTAGCACTACAAAACAAGTTTTGGCTCAAATTTAAGTTGACAGTGACCCATCATAAACAGAGACACAACTTCGAATTGCCCAGTTTCCTTCCTCAGCCTTTAAAAATCACCTTTCTGTTGTTTTTAGAATATTAAGATACGTTTTAATAGCAATACATATGCTATCACAGTTAAAACAACCTATTTTGGTCATGTTTTAAGAATTATTTATAACCATTCTTTGCTTAAGCCATCTGGTGAAGTAGGTTTCCAGTAAAACTAACTGCTTTGTAATACAAAAAAAAAAAAAAACCACCACCACATCAACCAAAAAACACACCAGTTTCTAGTAAATTAAGAGCGTGCTTTAGAACAGGATTGAAGCAAGTCAGAAACCAGTTAAAAATCCCTATTCCGAGCCATTAAATTCAAGTTCATAGCAGAACTTTTATTAATTAATCCACTACTCAAAGTGGATTGTAAGCACTTTCACCTTTAAAGTGGAAAGAGACTGGTGGACACAAAGTTACAGACTTGAGGGATTTTCAAAGAACCTTTCTGCTGATTCCTGCTTTTGCCTACAGAAAAATGGAACACCAGCTCCTTTTGGCAAAGCCAACGAGAGGTTGCCAGGACTCCTGGCTTAGGAAAAGGCAGCTCTTCAGGAGAGCCCCTGAAACTCCTAAATTGCACATTGATGCTCTCTCTTCACATCACTGCCTTCTGCACTGGTTCAGAGAGGAACTCTGCTTTTCCAGGAAAAAGTAGAAGACTATCTGTATCTTGAATAACCACTGGGAATACAAAGCAGGAATTAATGACACATTAATGTGAGATAAACTGAAATAACAAAGAAATTCTGATTTATATCTGCCAAGCAACTTTAAACCACATTGACATAGCTGCACACATGTATGCATGCAAATGTACTTTTCCTTTTTTCTGATTTCCTTCAAGGTTACACAGAGACTGTTCTCCTGAGTGTTACAGCGTGCGAATGTGTGTGCATTCATGTCTGTACACACGCATGTATTAAAAAAACTGAGACGTGAATCTTGTATAAGTAACACATTTACTGAACTTCTCTACACCCACACATCATCATTGCATTTCAGATGCAGAATCAGCAGTAAATTCAGCCAAGACAAGTTTAACACAATTTCCAGAAGTGGCCTGAGTTTTTCTTCAGTTGTCTGTACACCCCTCAAATGAATCCAAGCTTCATCGACTTCAAAAGGACTAACTCACTCACAAAAAGTCTGCAGTAAGAGAACATGACACACTCAAGGCAAGAAACCTTTTAGGTGCTCTGACTCAAAAAGGATGGATTAATGCACAAATAACTCATGAGGTTACTGTCCCCTTCTCCATCATCTCCCCTTTGCAAGGGTGGCTGAGCTCATGAAGTAGCTCCTGATTACCACTTTGCTTCAACACATCAGACTGTCAACCACTGTTCAGGGCTGCTTAACCAGCCAACAGTGGCAAGAGTTCATGTTACAGCTTACCCAGCTTCTAGCTCCTCTCTGTCCCCCTCACAAACTGCACCATCAGCCATGCACCAAGGCACACGCAACTGTCATGAGCTGAAGGCAAAACAAGCAGGCAGTTACATGGCCTCAGACATGACAGAACCCCACCCATCATACACCAGGTTCAAGGTGTAGTCACCATATCAGCTATGCTAATGCAAGCCATCCTTGATCACAGGGAAAGCTTGTGGCTTTCATATAATCAATTAATTAAATAGAAATCTAGACTTACATACACAGTCAAATGTCAACTAATGTGTGAGCTGGTAGGGTAGCTGGACTCACTAAAGCAATTTCCAAAATATACCTGCACATGTCAACTAGCAACAAGAAAAGAGCTTTCAATGGAAGCTCACTAGGAAAGGAATGAACAAAAAACAAAACAAAAAAAAAAAACACACACATGTCAAAACAGGCAGAACCAGGAAAACAGCCTTATTCTAAGTACCCAAAGAAACCTTCTGCATTTTTCTTTGCTGGCATCTTAGCCAGGATTAATTTTGTGTTGAAACAGCCAAGAATGCTTTCCTGGAATTAATTTCTAACCAACACTGGACACTCTGGACAATGAGTCCAATTAAGTCTATGAATCTCAGAAGCACTCTCCCCCAGCCCTTAGCTTACCAAAACCAGAGTTGTTTGTAACACTGAAATGAATGACAGATGAGAGAACAGTAACACAAAACAAGCAAGACAGGCAAACAGAAAGGGGCAGATGTGTTGATTCCACACAGTTAACCATGGTAGAGATGAGTGTCAATGTCCCTGCTCCTTGCTCCACTACTGAGCGTTCAAAGCCTCTGGTTTTGTTACTTACCAGATCATCCAAGAGTGCCTGCTTATTTTTCCTTTTTATCATCTGTTGTAGTTGTTCTTCCTTCTGTATGAACAGTCGTCTTTGTTCGTTTTCCTGTCGCTCTACCTCTAGAGCTTCCTCCAGCTCTTCCTGCTCCCGTGTCTGAAATGAAAATTAGAAATCGACTCGTAGCAATCTTCCTCCTTAGGTGGACAGAGCTCTGCTGCCTACCAAAGGAACCTAGGACAGACCAAGCAATGGGAAAGCAGCCAAATTCTACCTTTTAAAGTAGAGCTTTACAGTCATTACAGACAATGATTCTACCTCCTCTTGCTGTTCAGCGCAAAGTTAGAACTTCTGCTTCCTTGCTGCTCTCTGCCATAGGAAGTAACCATCTGGATCTTGAATCTTTAAATGTTAGAGAATCACAATGGCTTTTCCTTATACCTTCACTCTAAAATGAACCCCTCTTTGCTCCCACGCACTCTACCTCTCAAGTGATGCAAGCGGGTGACCGAAAATATAATCCCACAATACTGTTCCTGATTGCCCCCCCGATCAGCTGCATCTTGTGTGCCAAGTCCACTGTGTGCTTAACAGCGGTGTAGAAGAAAAATAAGAAATTACAATTCTGTGAATATTAATAAATTATAAGATAAAACATATTTAAGCATGAACTGTAAAACAAAGTCACATTCCCAGAAAATGAGGAATTTTTCCTGTAACTTGGGTTGAATCCATGTGCCATAAGAGAAGAAAAGAAAGAAATAACTTGTACGTAGTGACCAGTTTTGTTTCAGGATTTATTTCTTGAGAAGTCTTTTTTAACCTGTAAACTATTAAGTCATCTGTATTTGAAAATCATAGCAGAAGAAAAAAATAGCAGGGCTCAAAGACAGTTGGAAAAATAGGATCACAGCTAAACAGCCTTATACAGAAGGAGGGAATGAAAAGAATGTCAGTTTGGTGGTAAGAAGGTATAGGACAATAACACACAGAAAACATTCTCCAAAGCTTCCCCAGCAAAAATACTAAAGCAAAGGGAGATTCAGTAAAAACACCGCAATACTTAAATTTTACAAAATTTAAATGTACGATTAATTTATAGAAGCAGTTTTAGCAAGACATTACTGCAGCCAAGAGCTTAGTAAAATCTCTTCTTGTAAAAAAAAAAAAACCAAAAAAAAACAAACCTAAAATTATATTGTAAAGTACAGCAATCTGATATATGCCAGAATATGCTGACAAACATCCCTTTACTAGGCAGATCAAGCCAATGGGTCCCAGTGAGGCCCAGTTACTGGATGCAAGAGCCGACAGATCTCATCAGCCGCCACCGAGCCAACAGAAGCTGCCTTCACTTTGTAACTAGCAGTGACACTGGCAAAGAGCTGCTCACCAATCAGTGACCACCTGAAACTGGATTCTCTTTGCATTTAATGAAAGGAAACAAACAAACAAACAAAATCTCCAAGTTGCTAATCAGGATTATTTCTGAGAATTAAGGGATCTACTTAGTTCGGTCAACTGAAGAGCTCAGGGCCTTTTAAGACATTCCAAGGCTCTTCCACGTTTCTGTCTAAACACTGCCTGGAATTCACACTGAAACAGAAGAAAACTTGTAGGGAAGTGCTGGCAGACCTAGTCTGAAGAACCAGCCCAGAATAGTCAGAAATAAGGAAACTGACATACAAACCTAAACCAGATCAGACCACAGGAAAAAGGAAGAATTCTCACAAGTCATATCAAATTCTTTCTGAAAGGAAGACCAAACAAAACAGTAAACCAGAAGAGAGATGCACCCAATAGGCAGTGAGGGTTGTGTCAAGCTTAAGGGTAACCTAGACACAGTCCCAGCCTCTAAAGAAATAAAGGTCATCGTGGTGAAGCCTGGAGTAAAGTCAAGATAGCAATAGTAAGAAGTGAATAGAAAGTGTAGCATTTCACCCCACTCAAGAAAGGACAACTAAGAAAATTTAAATACATTCTCATCATGGAGTCCAGACAACTATTTCAAGACTGAACAAAGCGGCAAGTGAAACTGAACATCTAGTGACAAAGTACGAAGTAGCGAGTTATCATACGACTGGAGAACTGCAGATATTTAAGGTAGAAGGCACATTTGGGAAAACTGTAGCCCACTCAGACTGCAAGGCTTTATACATATAAAAAGTATATATAAACATATATAGAAAAATCAATTTATAATGACAAGAAAGCCCTTCTCCAAGAGTTCTTCACCATTTTATCCAAATCTGTCTACTTAAACTTTCTGTGCATGGTCCTGCATCAAATCTACACAGCTAATGGATGGGTTGGCACATTAGTAGCAAGGTCATTCGGCACTGGCTACAAAGATGAAGAGTACGGCTTGTATTGACAGAAGAACCACCAGTTATTCAAACCCTGACGTGACTGCTTCAGTAACTTAATATTTGGATTTGTAAGAAAGAATGACATGAGGATAGAAGTAGCAAAAGTGAGATGAACATAACTTACAAGGCCACAGAGCTGGAGACATTAATTCATCAGTTAGAAACCAAAGAGGAGAAAACATGATGCACTACTTGACCACTACCGCTTTTGAACATCGCCTATGACATGAGAGAAGAACAGTCTTCGGATCACACATGTCAATGTATTCTAGCAGATGATTCTAGCAGATGCGGGAAAGCAGTGTTCTTTATAAGAGGCTGTTAAGATCTTGACTACAATGCTGCATCCAGTTCTAGTCGCCAAACACAAATTTGAACTGGAACATGCAAACAGTAACAAAAACAACAAGAAGGACAGAGAATATCTATATTCCTCAGAAGCAAACTATTACAGTGGACAGAAAAATTTGTCAGTCCAAGAATGAAGGGACAATGAATAGCCATAAGAAGTTTAGTTGAGAAATTAGGACACCTTTTACTATTTCAGAAGAAAAGATGTTCCAAAACCTGCCAAAAAGAGCTAGAGGGAGAAAGTACCCTTTCAACTTTCAGGAGAGGGGGAAATTTATGGGCAAGATCCCACAGCTTTTCTAATAGCAACTGCATCAAGTCTATTATTTTGTTTCAATTGTTGAAATGGAAATAAAAAAAGAAACGTCTCCAGATCTCCTGTAAGCCTGGACTCACGCAGGCTTGCCGGCTTCCACCGGACAGCCTCTAGCACAGCAAGACCATAGAGTACAGAAAACAGCAGGCCCAGGGGGCCTGGGTGGGTACGGAGAATTACTGTGCTGCTTGATAGGATCACCCAGCTCGAGCACAGGTGGTCTGCGAGTCACGTCCGTGGACGGAAGGTGGGCTGCAGGCAAAGCACACTACTCTCATGGTGACCCCAGAGGTTGCACCTACACTGTAGAATAAGACATGTCACCAAAGATCCGGCAGGCCTCTTCGAGCTCTGCAGCATAGGATATTGCACAGTGTCAGAGACAGGATAACAGATCAGAGATGGACCCCTAGGGAAATTTCCTTGCCTTTAAAAGGAAGAGGTTCAAACAAACATTTTTCAGATTCCAGTCTCCTCCTGTGAAATCCTAGAGCTAAAGAAATCACTGGGAGTTTTGCCACAGACTTCAGGGGAGTGAGGATTTCACCCCTACTGATTTGAAAGCAAGTCCTTAGTGCAACTGGAATACAAACACAAAAACTTGTTATGTCACACACTGGGCAGACATTTTCCTTCAAGAACTGATAACAATGTGTATTTTTATACTGAAAAAATATTTAAGAGATTAAACTCTTCTTACAGAAAGAAACGCTTGCAAGTTTATTTTTAAAGAACAAAATGATTTCCGAGCTGTATTTTAATGAATGAATCTTCAAAGAACCACATGTTTTGCATACAGATCATATATACAATACTCCTGATGTTACTGTTCTCAGCTCTTGAACAAAAGTTTTAATGTTTGTTTCAACATCTTTCATTTCAAATTTTGCATAAACCAGACCTGTGCTTTCCCTCAATTTTACAGCTCTCTCCTGGGGGCTTCATAATGTCTGCGTCTGAATTCCTTTTTTACTTCGGATGAGAAAGGAATGATTGTCCTGGTATAGGAAAGAACTTGGTCTCTCCTGGATATTGTCCAATGACACTGCCAGCACACACGCAGTGGTGATGTATTAGATGCAGATTTTACTGTCTGTCCCTCTTTTCAACTGCTTGCCAAAATAAAGCATAACTATATTTCAGCTATCAATTCAATCTCTTTAAGCAGCACTAAACGTCAGCATCGCAGAACATTAGGGTATTACGGTTTTTGAATATGAAGTGAAATATGCACAGTGTCTTCAGCTTTGACTTGTTTTTAAGACACTACAGAAAGTACACCACTTTGAAAATCCTTTAATTCTTTAACTAATGAATAACAATTGTAGGGGAGAGGAGAAGGTAACTAACCAGTTTTATCTTATTTTTCTGAATGACTTCTTTGTTATCCTTCTGGTACAGCTCCATTTTCCTTTTGGTGTTCTCCAAATCCACATTGTTGGTCAAGTTAAATACTATATAAAAATTAGAAAGATAAAAGGTAAAAGCATTATGTTGGCATGCACAGCTATGACAAAGAAATACTACCTCTATGTTCTCTATCCTTTCTAGCACCAGATATAAACATTGCAATAACAGAATTTATTTACACATGCCCTGTAAAGCAAGACAATCTGCTAAATCACTGCTAACTTCGACAGAAGCCAGCCTTTAGGTCTACACATCTGCAGCAGATGAAGATTTGAGCGCTGCATCCTATTTGGTGATGCTGATGATACATATGAATAAACATAACGCTATTTGTAAAACATTGACAGTTCCAAGTAGCACTTACAGCTAAGAACACAGTGATTCTTGTAAAATTAAATTAGTCTAAACACATACTAAGACAAGGTTAGAAATTAAGTCATTCCATTTCATAAGATTATCTAATATACAAATACTACAGAGACCGCTCAAATTCTCCGGCACACAAAAAATTTTCATGTTACTTGATAACTTTAAAGGCATCAACGCACAACTACCTTTATTATGAGGAATCTGTAGATGCATCCAGATTAATAGGTTCAACGGCATTCTTTTGATGTCTCTCGATAGTGACAGACTGTATCTCACGTAATTATGAACAAGCAGGGTCAGCCAGCAAGCTCCATAGTTTAGCACAACATTCCCAATTATCTACACATGGCACAGAAGATACCTCAAGAAATTTAACAGTTTCTATAATCAACAGCTTGAAAGATGTAGATGGTTTGGACGATTAGTAATTTGATCCAATGCCTGAGCCTTTCACCTCTAGGTCACCAGTTCAGTTGTGGGTCAAGTGAATTCCAACTGAAAGCCATTATCACCAGGAAGACGCTGGTCATCACCATCCAGAGTTGATGCTGAGCTCATGCCCTCGGCCTTAAAGCTACTGAAGACTGCCAACGTACAGCACTTAAAGCCTCAAAGAGCTTTGTCACGTGGCTACAGTAAATGTACAAGAGCATCAGGGAAACATGCACTGCCATTGACAAATCCTTCACAAGACGACAACAGCACAGCGACTGCACTAAGTCAAACCCTAAGGAAGGGAAGAAGATTCTAGCGGCACAAAACTCTAAAGGTTTCAGTTCAGTTGTCTCTTCCTAGGTTCTCACTGATCGGGCCAAACAAACCGTGGGCACATGCACCACTGCTAAGTCATTTGTACAAGTAAGGCTGCCAGAGAGAAACAGAGGGAAGAAGCAGGAAGCCTGTGTTGTTACTCATCAGAACAGCACCCATCACAGTTCGGTAAAGATTATATCCCTTCTTTCGTCCTCTCCACAGGTAACATGGCAGAAATGAGCTTTTAGGAGGGTTCTCGGTAAGTCAAACCATGAGTAGCCTAGACTGGCAAACCAGATGAGAGCAGCAAAGGAAACAAAGAAATCAAAGCAGGGAGCAAACCGATGGGAGAAGAAAACAGAGAAGGTCCAAACTGCCAGAGTCGTGGGACACAGCTCAGTTCCAACCCAGCTGTACGGCAGCTCACGGCTACCAACAAGAGGCAGTCCTGCTCCTGGGTCCCTCTTCCCAGGCACGGGTCTCACCCCTTCCCCTGCTCTGAGTCCAGGACTCCCTGGATGCTTTGCGGTGCCAACACAAACCCTCCAGTAATCTGAATTGGCTCAGCAAGAGGGCTGGATAAGTGCCAGAGATGGGACAAGGGAAGGAACAGAAATGTACACACAGGAATAGGAATACTCTCCTTCCAGGAGTACTGAACCACCACATCATCTTACTCTTATCAGATTTATTCAATCCTTCCTTGAACTACAACAAAAAGGGCTAGACAAGATACAGCTGAAGAAATTCCTAGCCTTAAACAAACAAACAAAATGCTGTCTTTTTTCCCGTCTTTTCCAAATACCACACAATATCAAAAGGACCAACTTCTTAATTTAGCCTGGCTCCTCAATCAGATGAACTCTTCCACCCCCATGCAATCACCCCCACTTTAGAAGTGATCCGAGATCTAGGCTTGTTTTATGGTTTAAACATTTGATGGGGAATCAAAACCTGGGTCCATTTTCCAACTTTGCTACTGGTCCTGGGCAGATCACTTGGCCTCTATACTGGAGGTCTCCCACTTGTAAGGACCAAGAGGGGGGATATATAGCTTCCTCCTCTCCTATGCACAGACTGCTGACTCTTCTTGCTATAGCTACATGCAGCACCTACCGCTGTCATCTTGATCTCATCTCAGCTGGAACTTCTGGGCACTGCTATAACCCAAACAAGACATTCAAAGTTCAGCGCCTTGGTTTTTGGAAGCAAGCTACCCATTTCAAATTTTTTTTTTTTCCTTTCCAAAAGGCATAACAACTTTTTCCAATCTCGTATTGCAACATATACACACTTTCTGGTCACTGCAACATTTCCTTAGTAAAACGCACTATTTTACTCTATATTTTTAGTATTTTAATGCGGATTTGACCTCCAACTTTCCAAGCTGCAGTTCCCAGCTGACAAGTAGCTTAATATTTGAGTATTACAGCAGAGAAGAATTGTCATGTGAAAATGCTGGCATACAATCAGATCAGGGCTCTGCAACAACAGCAGCTGCACGGGAATGTCAGCACTTCCTACAACTTAAATCCACACACCAGCTCCCTGAACTCTTCAATGACGACACAAGAAAGAAATAGCATATGAGACATGCTGTGCTAGCAGGATGCCCAGATGCCACCTTCAGGTGCAAGAGGAGCAGCAGGATGAGATGCCAAATGCCTTTAGGCTCCTGAACATCTTGGGTATTTCTCTAAAAATAGTCTAGCAAATCAGAGGATTTTTTTCCCTTCTTTCTCAGTTTTCTTTAATAGGTTCAACCAGTCACAACCTAAGTTTGTAAAACAAAAACCACAGTATTTAAAACTCTTACTGGGGAAATCACACAAATTTTAGATAGATGTAGATGCCTGCCTTTATTTGGAACTACTTACAAAAGTGGGTTTATTTTGCTACTTGATATGAAGTAACATTTCCATGTAACAGATACGTTTCTGCATCAACATTAAGAAAAAATTTTCAATATCCACCTGCATAGCCACCTTAAATGCCCACTGCTCTGCCTGCAACAAGGTGAAAGATGGTTTATTTCCCCTTCTGTTTTCCTGATGTGGCTGGAACCAAACCACAGGTAAAACCCTCTCAGTCAGACCTGCTCGTACCACGCCGATTCTGCTCTGTCAGCCTTACGCTGCTCTTTCATTTGAAGATATGGTAGGACATCAGCAATCAAAGATTCATACTTCCAGCACCCTCAAAGAGCAGAGTAGATTTCTCCCACTGAATACTGATTCATAGTGATTGCAGAGCAACATTAACTTGGTCCTAAGAGTCTGCTCCTTAACACTAACTTGTCCACATCTCAACTTAAAACACCGAAGAGCTAAATTTTGTTGCAATGGTGTTAAGACCTGGATGCCTCTGTATCAACATCAGTGTCAACAGTTGTCCTTTAATAATTAAAAACAATTAATAATAATTCCTTCCTACAGTGAATACTCAGGAGCAAAATAACACTGTGCTCTTTGACACTGCATGGTTATTAATGGCCAACCAGCCAGCCAAAACATCTTCCAACGTATTTTCTAATATACTTTTCATGAGCTTCAAACGTCTTTTCATCAACATTCAGAGAATACAAATTCTTGCCATTGCATCCTTACAATTACGGCTGACAAGTCCATTTTGTACAGGGTGCTAGGCCACAAAAAAATAATTAAGATATTTTTTCTCTTCTCCCTTGTCCCCTCAACAACTTACCTGGCATTTAAAAACTAACAAGTATCAAATCAAAGAACACCGTCACCTATACTCAACATCTTACCTTTACATAGCTAGGACTATGCAGGTTTGGTTTTTTTTTCATTTGATTTCCTTTTTGTTTTGCCAGAAAATTATTTTAAATATAATTCTTCCAAATGTTCCCTTTTTAAAAAAATACAACAAAAGTTATAAAACTGCAAGAACCAGAAAGAGTTAAAAAAACCCTAACTCATATGCTGAAACAATATTGGTACAGATCTGAATATGACTGGCAAAGCAGATGGCTAGTTTGAAAAGGTTTCAAAGGGAAGCCATTCTTATTTTTTTGTCTATGTTGAAATATAGCATAAGCCGATACAAGAGGTCTGAAACCCTTCAGGGAAAAGAAACAGAAGCTGTTTTGTATGCAACAATTATTTATCTACTTATCCATCTCACATTGGTTGGTTTATAAAATGACTTGCCTTGAGACATCTGTTGAAGTATAACAGGAAGACTATTGTGTTTTTCTGAAACATTTAATTCTATTTAGGTAAAACTCCCTACTTCTGAAATTCAGCCTTTACCAGGAGATTTTTGCTGCTTTTCAAAACAACATTTATTAAGCAATTCTACAACAAACAGAGAAATATTTTCCTAGTTATAAAAAAGAAAATGAGACAAAAAAAGTTTAATTGTATGGCAAAATAATTTGTCCAGAGACGCAGCAGTACGAATGTCAGTCCACTGCAGGACAAAGTCCATCAAAGTCTCCCTGCTTTAGTCTGAGACGCCGCAAATTTTCTGAGACTTCTCCTCCTAGTTCCTCAAAGGACAGCAATGTTACCATGTAAAAAATATTTACTACTCAAATAGAAGGAACATTCCTTCTCTAGCAAGATCGGAGACCATTACTCTGATGACAGTGTTTGATCTGCTTTGCTGGTATGAGACAGATGAAAATTTAAAAATTAGTAGTATTATTTATTAGTAGTAGTAATATTAGATTAATATCAACAATATTCCCCCCACCCTACTACAAACAACTCCTTAATTATCATCTTCATAAATCGCCAGCTAAAGATTGGGAATGGCAACTGCTTTGGGCAGAGCACTATGAAGGGAGACACCACCACATCCCAAGTCTGCCCACGGAGTCCAGAGCTACTGTGGCACCTTCTGTTGGCGCTTCCAATGCCTGGCCCCTGTACTATTAAGAGAGGTAGGAGAGGGGTGAGGGGGAGAAAAGACAGAACAGATTTTAGCATGTCCCTTGCAAACAACATTCCTACGATCATAACAAAATTATTATCAGAAACAAAAGAAAATCCACAGCTAAGCCAGAAAAATCTAGTTTGTTATTAATAATTATTTGTTTATCCTCAGTTGTCTTTTATTTGGCCAATAAATTTCCAGAAAAATACCCTAGCATAGTAATAACGGATTAGAATCACTCAGCCCCATCGGTCTTTCATGATCATTTTGGCTGGAACAGTGTGGTACTGAAATCTTTGTTTGGAGGAGATGACTGAAATGGATCTTTGATAAAGCTGCCCAGTTTCCAGTTGGGTTATTCCCATAGTCAGGACCAGCAATACCACCCTCATGCAGATACACTGGGTGGGGGTGGGGCGGAGGGGAATCCCACAAACCAGTAAACAACCCAACCCACAAGTGATCATAGATACCAAAATCCTTTCTACCCAAGGATCGCTCACGAGAGAAATGTTCTGAGCAAGACAAGGCACCAGGCAGATGGTATTGCATAAAGTCTTAGAGGAGCAACGAGATACAGGAATCCGCAGGGCACAAACACGGAAGCCTCCTTCCAAGTTGAATGTACTGAATGTTCTTAAAAAGCAATAACTGCTGTTAACAATTGTGTTGCGGCAATGCCTGGAGGCCTCACTCAGGTATCAGGAGAACAGTGCCAGGCAGTGTGCACACACGTGCGAGGAGGCGGGCCCTGCTCTGGAAAGCTTACACACCAGGTTTCGAAGAACTGGCTGCGGAGATGCGCTGAGGAAGAAGAAAACCTTGGGGGAAGAAGAAAACCTTGCAGATAAAGCCAGCAAAATTTGCATGACGTCCACAGACTGTAACTTGTGGCAACACTCTAAGGTTTAACCTTGCCCCTCTCATCACAGGGGCATGGACCTGGCTTACTCCTACTGATGTTGTCCACACCTCTCCCAAAGGCAGGCTTTAACCCTTTCACTTTATTTTCCTTTCTAGTGTTAATGACAACAAACTGTGTTTACAATGTTCTCAAATTGTCCGACTGATTCTTCTTCTGGGGAAAACCCGCTTTAAAATGTGGTTTCTATTTAAAGCCTTGTATAACACATTTTAGCCCAAAGCACTATTTAGTGGCTACATTCTAGACCACTTCAAAAATGTGTTTTTTATAACAGAAATCCTATGGAGGTGACTACCCTAATGTTTGTTTGACCTTCCCCTCTCACACTTTCGCTATACCACCCAACTCTTTTCTTTAAATAGAAAAAGTCTGTAGGTATAACAATCCTGATATGAAGGGGGAAAATGTGTTTCAGGTGAGGTTACATATATCACATCAATGGAACAAGACAGTGCAATTGCTGCAAATGTTGGAGCTGGCCTACCTGAAACATTTTGAAAAAAACTACCAGAATTGTGCCAGGGTCACATCAAGTATACTTATATAGGATATTTACATTTTGCCTCTGCAAGCAACTACTTCATTTAATCCCCCATAACAACTTAGAAAACAAGACACCAACAAAAAGAAAACAGGGTAAAGCTGCACTTTGACCCTCCCACAGGAAAACTGAGCATTTGTGGCAGGTGGAGAAAGGCGAGATCCAGTTCTCCGCTTCCTAGCTTCCTAACCTGGCAGCTTGAACAACCACCACCAGCTACTGCCAACCTGCTGTACATCGGCTCCACAAGACAAAACTTTGCGCTGCGTGACTACACTCTCTCTTTCCCATCTTGCAGACTAGCTTTTCACATGTACAAACAAGCAGAGAATTCACATCCACAAAAAAAAAAAATGAAATAAATACTCTCAGTAATGAAACGTGAAGTAACCGTACAGAATCGAAGACACCCTTAGCGCACGGTTCAGCCATGTCACACACAACACGCGCAAAGACACTGGAAGCAGTCACGCTATCGCTACGTACCAGACAACTGTCGGGTGCAGAACTCTGCCCAGTAGCGCGAGAGCAAGATGTGCGCAATGAGCTTTGTCACCAGGGAAAGGAGAACAGGGCTTGACTTCTTACTCAAGGTGGTGGTCTTGAATCTAGCCTGTCCTCCAGCTTCTGATCTGCCTGAAGTCAGTAGATCATCGACGACTCCTTTGACAGTGAAAGTTAAGATCCTTCTGACTGCACCCCATCTTTCCTCTCATCACCCTGGCTGCTACGAGAAGAAACCAGGAGGCAGTCGGACTTCCTATTCCTTTCAGTATTTTAGGTGTCCTTTTCAGGCAACTAACTCGAATTCCTAACAACACTTCTCTATCGAGCTTCTTCACTATGCATTTGCAGGGCCACCATAACTATTGACAAACTCTTCTCCACAAGGTGACGAAGACCAGCCATGATTTCTGCTGCTTCTAAACCAAACTACCAGCACAGGCTCTGGAACCATTTGAAATTAAACACTCTAATCTCAAGAGCTGGAGAATCATAACATTCTGCACAAATCGATAAGGTTAAGCAACTTCAGGCAAAACTTCAACTCCCTTATCACAGATGCTGAAAACCCCTGCAACAGCGGCAAGTGGGAAATCTGTATTTAATGCTACTTAAATAAAACACAGTTTTACTTTCCATGAGCACACAGATTCTTCCAGTATCCTCTGGCTAAGATACAACCATTCTTTCTACTCATCCCCTCCTTCCCCCGCACCATCCAAAAAAACATACAAACAGAACTACACCCACATTATCTCCTCCAGATATCTGGACCCATAGGAGTGTGCCTGGTACTTCCCAGCCAGATGAATTGGGTCTCCAGCCTCAGCCTTGTGATGCCAACAAAAATAGGATACACTACTCACAGCAGTAAGCATACTGGATACATTTCTACAAAACACCACAGCACAAAGAGGAGCAAGGGCTCCTTTGAGAAACCAAAGTGGAGTGTCATCTCCACGGTTTCCTTCAAATCACATTCACTGCCCCTCCCACATGTTCTAAGCTACCTCTTCTTCCTCCAGGACAAAAAAAAAAAGCCTCAGAAGCTCATAAAACCCAAGAAACAAACCATTTAAGAGTGCCGCCTTTGAACACATCCTTGGTTTTCTAAGCAAAATCCATCACTCCACCATAAATCACAAGTGTCCCTAACTAAGAAGAAATAAACTCTGTTGATAACATAGTCCCTTCCCCAAAGGGCAAAGTTCTCCTTCAACTAATCCAAATAGAAAGAAATCAATGTCTGTTCCTAAACTTTCTCCTTCTGCATAGCAACATAAAATGCTACCACAGTGGTATGTAAGGTCATCAGCTTCAAAGCACCTTCAACTACTGTACTTGCAGCAGCTAAAAGCAATGAAAGACGCCATATGGCTTCTGTCATGGTAGATAAAGCTAATGGACCCACATAACGAAAATTTCAATTTCTCCTCTCTTTGTTTAATCTTCCCCAGTGCAGTACCGACAACCCCCCTGCAAGCCTCTCTTTTTCAGCTATAAAGCACTACTTCCTCTTTGAATCATGTTTTTTCTTTGTCAGATAACATGTTTTACTTAAAGATGTCCTACAGTTCAGCAAATACGATTAAAAATGTACAGAAAAAAGTAATCAGATAAACATCTGATACTATGATAAATCCAATTACAGAAATTCAACTTAGACATTCTCATAGGCAGCTGAGTCAGAAGATAAAAGCCTACGGTCTCATGAGCACAGCACATCAAAAATGCAAGCATTAAGACTTACCAATTTCTTCTACTTCTTCCAGGAAATCATTATATTCACTCAGACTGGCAAAGTCATCCTCTCTTTTATTGTATCTTTAAGAGAAGGGAAACAAGTATTTATATAACACACAAAGATGCAATTTCAACTCAACAACGCCCTTGCTGTAAGCATATCGACCTAGTTTTATCAGCTGAGTGCTCCATGGCTCCCACAACTGACCACCACACAGAACCTTCACAAGGAGAGCGAAGTGCTGGCTACAAAGCAAAGGAGCCAGCCTGCCATAAATGGGTGCTGTCTTTGCCTACTGTTTGCCGATGCCTTTTCCAGGGTTACAGGTAAACAGGAACACAGAGGCTAGGACAGACTAATTCCAAGCCAGCCCTTCAGCACAAGAAACCTCTTAACAGAGGACAACAGTAACACCCACAAGAAAAGCTTTTCTAGAAGTATCAGGAAAGGGAGCTTGGCTTTCTGCCAACAACAGAAAGCCCATGTCAGCAGTAAACTGAAAATGCTACGTAGTTATCTTATTCCATATCAATAGATCATTCCAAAACTCATTTATCCAACTCTTGATAGCTGGAAAAAGTAAAAAGATGAAGGGACAACTGTCTAGAACGTGGACAGCCTCGGAAAGTCAAAATACACAGGCTTTCCTCCCAAGAACACAAAAAACTGAGAATCTGTCTGCTCTGTGGACCAAGATACATGACATCCAGGCCAAACTCAAATTTGGGGACATTTTTTCTGTCTACCAAAAATTAATCTAGCAAATCCACTTGGGCAAAGCATTTTACGTTTTCCATTGTAACTACACTTCATTCCGTTTTCAGTCAACTATGTTGACTTCATTCCAGTTTGACTTATGTTAACTTCAGTAGACTTTATAATCAAACATCAAAATTATTACTACTTTCTACATCAGCATCTTGGTATTCAACAACACAATTTCCCCACATCTCAGCAATGTCATGTGATTCATTTAGTATTGTACTAAGTCTTAGATAAAGGCTGACAAGCTTATAATTTACCTGTACATTCATTTTTGGACACACAACTCTCCAGGTTTGTTACTTTCCATCAGACCTTCTTCTACCAAAACATCAACTGGCTCGCTTATTTTCCTTATAAAATGTGGTTTCTTAGCCACAAGGAGTGAGACGCAATTTTAGACCTCATTTATCTTGATTCCACGAGCTCTCAAATCTGTATGGCAGACTAGTAAGCAAGACGTGTAAGGAAGCATTTCCAACAACAATCGCTGTGTGAAGTAGAAAACAATATGAACACAGCTTCTCTTTTGTCCATTTTCATTTTGAAGGGAACTGGCCTTCCACTCTCAGAACAGGTCTCCAGGGAACAAAACAATCAAGGTCCTGTTTCTTTCCCCACTCCCATTTCACCCCCTCCAAGGGAACGCAGCTGTAGTCCTCACTATCTAATCATCTCCATTTAGGAGGCAAGTCTCTGCCAAAGGAGGCCACACAGAAACACCCAACATTTTCTAATGCTAAGGAATCCCTCAAGGCTGTTGAGAATTCAGTCCTCAGTTGTTGCACAAAATCAGATTCCCTGAAATCTCTCAGTGTTAAATGGATACAAGTTTTATGGGTTCTTACTTCAAAACAAACAAAAAAACCTCCTCTGTACTATGGAGGTAGAAGTCAATTCTTTTAAAACAGCAATCCATGCAACACGTCCACCTTCTGTTATTTAACTGGTAACACTCACATTTTCAGCACTTTCTTCCGAATTTCCACTTCCTTGTCGACAGCAGGATCCTCGAAGAGCTGTACCCTGAAGTTGCTCTTCCGCAGGGGGGTATCGCACTCCTGGCAGTTTCCAGCCCCTCTCACAAAGAGCAGTTCCACACAGCTCTCACATCTGCGGGAGACAGGAAGGGGTAGAAAGGCAGACACATGTTAAACACTAACTGAAACGCAGCATTGCCCCCGTTTTTGGTTGGTTCCCCACACACACACTAGAAATACACATCGCATCTCCCCTTGATTTCACTATTTCTTCAGCACCCAGCAGTGGCAAGGAGGCAAGGGCTCTCCACCGCGGCTGAAAGAAACTCAGCAGCACAACTGCATTTAATCTCCCTGCCCAAACACCTCAGCCTCTTTGCTGAGACTGAAAGTTAATCTAAAGGCAATGACAGGGGTTGTGTCAAGAGGAAGCTTGTTTATCGACACCATCAAACTCATTTTGCGTGGACCAGATTGCAATATCCTTATTTACTCTGAGCGCTGCCTTGCTGCACAAAAAGCCCCGTTTGTTTTCTTGATGCCGTTCACCGTGCAAGGTACTACTCAGCACAAGCAGGGATGCAAATCTTCCTCAGAGCCCTCCAAGTACCTACCAATACTACCATGGAGGAACTGCTGTAACAAACGTGAGCTAAGCTCCAGCCCAACACAGCTAAAGTAACCAAAGTACCTTTTTAACCGGTGATCAGCATTATGCAGCTCTCCTGTGCCTTAATACTTGTAAAACTGCACTTAAAACACACTTTGCAGAGGCTTCACAGAAATAAACCAAATATACCTTTCTGGGTTTATTTCTTTTCTCTTAATGAAGATTTCAGATTTTAACAAGACACTTGCTGACCAGTCAGTTGCTATTTAATGAAGGAAGAACACACAACATGAAAGCCAAATTAAAAAAGTACTTGGGTACTAATAATGGGCAAATTTCTAGCAAAGGACACCACCTGCTGCCATCATTTCCTACTGCTGGGGAGGCAAGGGGGTGCCTATTTATAGCTTCGGTACGTTGAAGCCAGAACAGTTGTACATGAAGGGCGAAGCTGTATTGTACCTTTACAAACTCAGCACAAAAGGTAAACAAGTTAAGAGAAACAATACTGCCATGGTTGCGAAGGATCTTAAACAGAACTTTCACCCCACTGACCTACCCCCAACTAAACTGGTTCCAGTACTTACAGAGGCAGAGCTGGCTAGAGCCAACCAGTTGTACCCAGTTTCTGTTTTCAAGATTAGAACATGCAAAACAAATGCAATTGTGTCTTACAATTAAAAAAAAAAAATCAGAGCAATTTTTTTTGTTAACACAAGTAGAACTACAGTTTTAAAATGCATTTTGCACAGCAGCTGCCAACACTAAAGAGCAAACCTTGAATTCACTTGGACATTTTCCTGCTCAAGAATCCCCGCAGTTAGAAAACCAACCACTTTTAAATACAATTTATCTGAGAAGAGAAAGATCAAATCATTTACCACACTAGGCCCGAAATTCAGAAAATTACTGGGACATCAACTCAAGAAGTATGCTTCTTTATGAAAATATTTTAGCTCACTACTCTGAGAGAAGCAACGCTTGGTGCACAACAGAAGGCAAGGCAGGGAAAGGGTTTTCTCCTTCCTCCCCCAACCTGTCTGTGCACGCAACAGCCCAGCACATAAGGACAGTTTTCACTGTCTCCTTCGTTTTGGCAGCTCGTGCTGTTTGTACGTCTCTTTCAACACAGCAACCAAAGCACAGCAAAAAAACCTGCCTCCTCTTCCCTATTTTTAAGTTATAGAAAAGGGAGTGTAAAGCTACAGAACTTGGCAGATGGATCCAAGTGCAGGTGTTTGTATTGTTTTTTTATCTCAGTATTGCCTAAGGACCAACAGAACAGGGTCTCCATGTGCAACATATTACACACAGACAGTAGCACCTGAAACTACTTCACTACTTGTTCTCCCCCCCCTTGCCTAAATCAAATATATTTCAAGTTTACACAGGACTTGACTATGGAGAAAATCCCTCCTTGGAAAATCACTTCATACACGTGCTTCAATGCCTTCCCCAAATGGGAACCAGTGTTTCTAAGGCTGGAAAATAGCTTTCCACACAAAAAGAGAGATGAGTCAACACCTCACTATGGAAATCCCACATCAGTTGATCAAGCTCTCACTCACTCATGCATGTCCACCCTTATATGTATTCATAGATAATTCCTTCTGAATTCTAAAGGGGTTATACAGGACAAGTCAAGGGCAGACCTGGATTCTGTCCAGATCCCGCCTGCTCTCCACCTCTGGTTAGATTTAATACACACAGTTAGACCCCAAGCTTACTTCCTAGCAGATCTGTCATTCTTGCCCCCAGAAGCCACAGCCACTTTCCCAGCGATGGCAAGTGTGCTTGGTCACACATTTGCACCTCATTCTCGAAGGAAAAAAGCCATCTCACAAACACCTCTCAAAGGAGATCCTTTCAGTTTCACTGCAGACTGCTGAGGTCAGAGCACACGCCAACACCAGGAAGGCAGGTTTCAATAAAGATGAATTTAATAATTTATTTCATATCTTGAAATAAAGACTTCAAAATGTGACTTGTTAAACACTTTTTAAAAATATAGTATTAATTCTTTTTTTTTTTTTTAAAAAAAAAAAAAAAAAACAGATGCAGCAATTTATGCGACCTCACCAAAGGTACCCAACCCACACAACAGCTGGACATCCCAGGCAGCACGTGGGGACACTCAACACCACAGCAGGCATTCCAGAGCTCCAGAGCAGCACACAGAGCACATCCATTCAGGTGATCCCTCCATTGGCTTGCAAGTCCAACTCTTCTCCATTTACCTCAGTGTAAGGACAGTCTGACTATGGAAGCAGGACATCATTCAGTGCATCTTTTCGTTGAATGGGTTGGAAGCAACCTCAAAGATCATCTCATTCCAACCCCCCTGCCACAGGCATGGACTGGCCAACACACCATACATGGCTTTCCCCAAATGAGCAAAGCACCAAAACACCTGCTTAACCTTCAAACCACAGCCAAAACAGGTGGCCACATGTTTTCCTAAATTAGGAGCCTTAAATCAGTGATTTTTAATACGCATACCTGTATTACGTATGCATACATGCTACATCTATAGACTAACGATGACAAATGCTCATGCTCAAAAATCAGGTCTATGCATCTGTTCAAAACAGAATACGTCTGAAGACAACAGCTTCAAGAGGTCTAAACAAACACTCAGGGTGTGATATTGCCAACTCTCCTCTTCACCCTGAGGTTGTACTGCCTCTGTGATCCATGTTTCATTTCACACATTCACTAAAATCTTTCATTACCTTCTGAATGTAAATTTGTATCCTGAGAATAGGTAATCCGGAATAAGACATCCACAGAAAATGCCCAGGGAGTTAGGTATGCATGGATGACAGAAGAAGGCTACTTGTAATGTCACCAACAAAAGCAATCACAACACCTCCAGAAATAATCGTCTCCTGCACCTCCACACCAGAATAATAACCATCAGTACACTCATTTTCATTTCCATGGATACTGGTTTCATCTGTCTTGTTCTTCTCTTTCATCCCCACGAAATATAAAACAAACGGCTCTGTCTCTATTCAGTCTAGAACAACGCCACACTTTTGAGAGAAGCAAGCAGTAAGGCACCTAGATAGTTTGGCACCATCAATGAACAAATAGCACAACATGCCTTCACGTCAGTGTTCAACGAGTTCAGGATCAGGACCATACTAAAAACACTTTTGGTACATTGGAGAAAACAAGGAGAGGTTCCTCTCCATCAAGCTGTTCAGATATTTATCAACTAAATTACACTTACTGGAACTGAGTGTTTGTTTTGGACAAAGTGCCTTCAAAGGATACAAGATTTGTGCCCATTCCTGCATTCCCCACATCTGCACACCCACGCTTCAGGTAGGGATGATGGCAGGTAAGGAACCAAGCCTCTTGGACACTGGACGGATGAAAGTGGCTCACAACATTAGCACAGCTTGATGGTGCTGCTTACTTTCCTAGCTTGGCTGCCAAGAGGGCAAACTAAACAGAATAAAGGAATAGGTATTTTCACAAACAGGAGTACAAGACAGTCTTTCTTTTAAAATTTTAGATTCTGCTGAGCATAGCAAAAATTTGCAGGACGTCACATACGCAGCCATTAATCATTTCAGAGGAAAAGAAAATCTTTATGGCTTTTGCTGTTGACTAGGAATATTACAGAGTGAGTTACTACCCTTCTATACAAAGGCTATTTTTAGTAAATATACTTATTAAACAGTATCAAATATTTAGAATCTCTAAGCCCTTCTTATTCAGCTTTTACAACCAAGATGTTTCTGGTATTTAAAGTAACACACAAAATGAACGATCCTCTCTACTATGGAAAAACCAATTTAGATTAAATAATAATAATAGAGCCTTCTACTTATAGCCAAGACCTGAACCACAAACAAATGGAATGGAAAGAATCAGTAAAAAAAAATGTGTTTTCACTTGTTCCTCAATTCTGATGTCAGAGGAAATTTAGTTACAGAAATGGAATGAGACTTGATTTACGGTGAGGGAACATTAAAAAGCAATGGAAAAAAGCACACATGAGAAAGCTTACAAAGACATCTAGATTTTCAAATGAAAGACGCTTCTAGAAACATTCACAGGCTTTCTCCTTAGCTTGGGCTAGACAATTTTGTGTTCTTCTACAGAGATTCTTGAACTGAAACAAGAACGACGCAATTTGGAGCGAGCAGTTGTCAGACCTGTTTATTTCGCAACCTTCAGTACATTTAGCAGGTCCTCATAACCCACAGCGGTGCCTGCTACCCAGCCAAGAGTTCAGCGACTATTTGCAGTTGACCACCACAGGTTTATTTTCTAGGCAGACGGACTCATAGGCACAGCCTAGAAGGCAGGTTCTTCCCAGAGTCTACAGCAACGATGATCTCATCCAAAAAGCTAAGGGAACCAACCAAAAGCAATTTTTATCCCTGTGTTATGGGTGAGGGATCAAAATCCAAGGAAAGAGAAAGAAACATGGCTGCAATGACACCAAATGTTTCCAAGAGCCTCAAATAAAGCAGCTTACGAGATCAGTAGCTCCCTGAGGAGTAGCGAGTCGGGGGACACAATTAAGTCTTTTCCTCTAGACACCTCAGCTTCAAGAACTCAAAAATCCTTATTCGAGTACTTGCAGAAGCAGCTGCCTACGTGTTTTGGGCCATCTCTTCCGTGTCCACCAAATACAAGAGGGAGTTGGGAGAAGAAGATACCAACTACTCCTTCCCTCCTCCTCTGTTCAGATCCTGTGAAGTCCTACCAATGGGGATTTTTCTATCCTCATCTTGTAAGGAGACAACTTCAGAATGCTCTCAAAAGCTTGCGTGGCTGAAAAACCCATGATGGGTCTGTCTTCGACTAGTAAATAAATAGGTCTCACAAGCAGCACGCACGCCACGTAGAGATGCAGCTCATTATGGCAATAAGACCCATCTTGGATTTCAAGCAGAAATCACAACTCTGTCAATCAACCAATGAGAATTTTTTTTTTCTAAACACTGTTGATAAGCTCTCTTCAGTTGTCTGCAGCTCTCCTCCGTTCAGCCCACACTAACATGCACTGCAAGACAAAACCTCAGAGATCACTTTGCTAACATTTAACTTTTTTCAAAAGTACCAAGGCTTCACAGAGCTGATCTTAACCCTCCTTTAAACAACAAAGCAAAACCAAAAAAAGACTCCGGTACTCTCCCTATATCTGTATTGTGCCAATTCTCAGCATCGCCTGCCAAGCTACCGAGCATACAATCCCTCTTTCAGACTATTTAGATCTTTTGGGAAAAGGATGCGCACACACGCTTTGGTTTCGTTTCTGTTCTGTCAGATAAGTTCTGCTCCATACTGCAGAAAGGAGGAGGTTAAATCAGCCCAGACATCTCAAAAATGTAGGGGACACTAAGCCCCCGTTAACCCTATTTTCCGAACACCCATACACATAGCCTGCTATACAGACCAGTTCGTCTCAGCTGCACTCAGCAGAAAGCAAGCAGATCAGGTAGTGGTTGAACTACAGCCTTGAATGACTGGCATTTTAAGCAAAAAAAGACATACTGAGTCAATTAATAATAAACAGAAAAACATTTCTACCACCCATTGTGTTTCAACATCTCCATTACAAAACCATTTCAAGTGGCTTGGACCTGACAAGAGAGTTTGCAGAAAGCTAAAACTTAACTCACGTTTATCCAGTATAGATAAGCCTTTTCTTTTTTCCTAGAAAAAATAAAGAACCACCTTCTATGGTATTAACTCTGCATAGTATAGAGAAAATATTTCTTTAACTATTCAAATAAAAGTGGTTCTTTCTGAGATACTGCTGCCTAGTCAATTAAGCATACAACCATAAAAACCATGTCTTACAGCACAATTATGTCAATTTGGTCAAACAACAGGCCAACACTTGACAGGCCAATTCTTGACACTTCAAGAGCAGCTGTGTGGCATTGAGAAATAAGTGTTTTCACAATGACCAGGCATACCAAAATCGACCAAGAATTTACCCAATGTACCAGAACAACTACTTCAAATCCATTACAGTCTACTGGGCAAACACATGCATTAAAATAATAACTTGGCTATGTCAATAACCCTTTTATTATGCTTTTTTCTCTTCGAATAAGAACTTTTGCAAGTTTTCAGGGTTCTGAACAAATATCAGATTGGGTAGCTACCAGATTAGCAGCTGCCCACAGTACACCTGAACTTAAAACACCATTACAAAATTTCCCATGTCTGTCTAAAACACAAACTGCACTTTTTTTAGACATGATCCAGCTGAACACTACCCACTGTCTCACAAGGCAAAATTACTTCTTGTTAACAAGTCTAAGATCTCACACCGAACTCCATACAAGACACACTGCTCCCCTCTCCTTCCGCATCCGTCTGTTACCTTGTGAGCAAGCCCTGCGCCATGGTGTGGGCTGAACTGTCCCCAGAGCTGATGGGTCTTACTAACTCCAGTATTTTGAGCATTCACTTACTCCATCTTACAAAACACCTGCACATGCCAGAACTCACACCGGAAAAAAAAAACTAGAACACAGATAACAGAAAATAAATGCTTTGGGGACTCATAATAGTCATGACAGATCTTTTACTTGATTCGAAACAAGGCTTCTTCTACCTTCTGTTCTGTACTTTCCACACATTTTACAGTGCGATGATGGCATGTGGAACCAAGACAAGGAAATACGGCTACATGGTAAAAGGGAAAAAAAATAAAATAAAAAGGTATTTGTGGCATAATGGGCTCTCCTGACCACATAACTGAGGGCTTGTCACAAGACACTCCTATATTTCATGTCTAATCTCTGAAAGTAAGAAGATAAAGTTGATAAGACACACATCTGTAAAAGAACCAGGCATGCAACCAAGGTTTTCCATAAAACCAACGGTGGCTTGGGGTCTCAGTGGGAAACACGCAAGTATTTAAAACCCTCCAATATCAAAACCTTTACCAATCTCTTGCAAATGTACCTGTTCAATGACCAGCGTATGTTGGCTTATCTCTCCCACTTTTTGGGAGGAACCAAGCCAAACTTCTGCCAATAGCACAGGTTTGTATTTCACTCCAAGCATAAAAAGCACACAGCCCAGTTGCCTTAAGCTATTCAAATACAGAGAGACAGTGTGGGTGTATGTACACACAACTAAAAACAACGGAAAAAAACAGCCTGTTGGAACAATAACTGCACCGTCCATCTTCTGGATAGCTCTGAAAACACTGTCAGTGCTCAAAAAGCAATGTGCAATGAAGAACTGTCCTCTCTACCACTAAGCTTGCTTGCTTTGAAAAGACTTAAAGAACAATCTGCCATGGCAAAGTGCTACATGGGAGCTCCTGCATAAATCTTGGTTTATGATACCATAAAATCAACTGTTTCTTTTTACCTAATTTGTTAGAAATTAGTGACTAAACTCAAAGATTAAGACACCAACTCCCATTCTCATGAGTAGGAGAAGCCTTAACAACCTTGAGTTTATACATGAAGCCTAGGAGCACCAAAATTGTATTTCTCTGTGTTAAGTCAGCACCAGTGCCAAAGAAGCTGCTGTAATCTGCCTTCGCACTGCCATACACTGTCCCTCCCTTGCTGTCCTCTCCCACAAGCCAGAAAAACATTTGTGCAGCCACACGGCTATTTGCTGGGTTATTTTTCAGCCAGATGAACTCTCCTATTTGGCTCACCGCATAGTTCACAAATGCTTGTGCCAGCACATAGCAAGGGGCAAACTGAAGGTAGGAATGAACAACCAGGGTGAGAAAGCTTCAGTGATATGTTGCCAAATATAAAGTCCCAGGCAAAGCAAGCATATCACACCACTATCATGAAAGTCTTGAAAGTCAGACATGTTTAAGACTCACTCATTAGGGAAGCTGAAGCACAAAGAGAACAAGGATGGTGTTTAGTACCAGACAATGCAGGTAGGTGCCCAGCGGCATGGGTAGGCACTTTTGTAAGCATCACCATATATCTACACAGCTTTGCAGATCTGCTCTGGAAGGAGA